GCGATGCGCTGCGATCATGGCGAGGCACGTTTACACAGTGGCTGTGATTCACTGTTTCTTTATTCCTCAAGCCGTAACTTTTAAATGTCTTTTTAGGAAAATCCACCTTTTTCAGAAAGTGAACCTACCATCACTTGTGTCTTTTCCTTCTGGGGTATCACGGACCAAGCAAGCAGCGCAGCGCCTCTACTTACCTCCTGACGCTTCTGAGACGCCTGAGGCGGCCAGGGTGCCCCACGAACACGGGGCTAGACCACGGGGTGGGGGCCCGACAGACACACTGGTCACGGGGCCGGTATACCAGATGTTCGGACATCATGGCACCCGGGCTGGGAACAGCTCTCTGATTAGGGGTTATGCGGTACAGAGCACACAGCCTGGGCTCAGGATGTGTTTGTTTACCCTTTCTCTCCTATGTGTTAACTGAGTTCGACGTTCTTGAACTCTGGTCCTCGTTCCAGAACAGTTTTGTCTTTGTTGTTGTTGTTTGGGGGGCGGGGGGCATGCGCCGGGCTCCTCTGCAGGCCTGGGAGCGCCGTCTCTGACGTGGTTACCACAAGCGCATCCAAGGAGCCGCCAGACGAGCTGCTCTTTCTTCGCCAGCCTCTCCTCGCTTCCACCTTCCCCTCAAGCGGGGGGTTGACCAAAGGTAAACAGAGAAAGACCAAAAGGTGGTTCGCCTGGCAACACGTTCTTTCCGTCCTGAAGAAGGCAAAGCCCCGAGTCTGGGCCTCGGGCGGGGCCACTGCTCAGGGATGGAGCTGGGCCCCGGCAGGCGGGGGCCCGGGAGACTGGCGAGCTGGGAAGAATGTGAGGGCCTGGTGCCCGGGGCCCGAGAGAAAAGGAAGGAAGACTCCCGAACGCCCACGCGATGCAACAACGACTCTGAGCTGGGAGCAAACACCCCACCCAGTGTGTGGACCACTCGCTGGACCAGTCCTCAGCTCCAGGGGCGCTGCTCACAGCGAAGGGCGAGGAGCAGGTTTGCCTTCTCTGCCCTTGGGGGTGGGGAGGGGACTCAGTGCTACCCTAACAATGGCAGCTGCGCGGTCCAAGCCCCCAGGTGCTCGCTGCGGGTACTCACGCCACACCACACGGCAGCACCTCAGGTGGGTGTGACTGTCCCCACTGACGATGAAGAAACGATGACGAGGACTTGCCCAAGGCCACGGCTGAAGTGGCAGACACCCGCCTGGTCCCACACCCCTGCCTGCCCAGGGCTGGGATCAAGGAAGAGTCTGGGCCAGCAGTTCAAGCTGCCGAAGGCATGACAGACCCCCGAGCTGCCCGGATGCAGGCTTAGCTCCACCCCCGCTCCCCCGCCTGACTGTCGCCTTTCTGTTCTCACCGCAAGAAGCTGATGAAAGCTGCAGGGGTTTAAACCGACTCAGCCCATAGGTGGGCCTCTCCCACCACGGGGCACCAGGCAGGGCTGGGATCAGAAAAGGACATGGGCAGAAGGACGGTCAGTGGGGAGACCCCTCAGCTCTCCATCATTCGCAGTAACTTACGCCCCTCATGCCCACACCCTCCACGCCAACGCCGCGGCACGTTCCAGATCCACGACGTGGTTATGTTGATACAAGTGTCAAACAGTCAACTTTCCTGGGAGATTTCATGATTAACACTGTTTATAAAGACACAATTAAAGCTGTAACCCACCAATAACATCGATCACGTGACATGTTTCTTACAGAAGAACAAAGGGACCACCACGGAGGAAGCCAATGCGTATAGCAGGCGCCCACCTCCCTGGAGCCCAGGGAGCTGGGTGTGAGGAGCAGACGATGTCCCACACGATCACGCGCAGATGCGCGGCCTGGCGCTCACGGCATCCGCCAGGAACATTCAGACACACATTTTGTGGATTTCTGGCTATTTTTGATATTCAAATGTATGAAAATCTCAGAAGACTTCAAAAAAGAAAGAAAATTTGTCACATTTCAAACCAACATATTGAATCAAATAAATTAAGCCATGATTCTCAAACTGCTCGTGCAACTGACAGGTTCAAATGCATTTTAAAAAGGGGTCCAATTCCAAGCCCCAAATGCCATGAACAGGCCCCCCCATCCCCGCCCCCCCACACAAGCTGGGTGCTGTGACACCCACCGCAATCAGCAAACGGGGCGAAGCTACAGGCTCCTTCTCTAAGCGCAAGGCCGCCTCTGTGACGCCCCCTTTGTGTATCTCCCTGAGTCCCCTAGTTGTCAGTACCGTGCGCACATGATTGGCACTTACTGCTAAAAAGCGGTAGTTTTCTCTCTTTAAAGAAAACCCTGCTTCTGTCTGAGACAAAAACAGAAAGGGAGGCCCCACTAAAGGGCTTCGCGCGGGTGGGCGGGCAGGCCGCTCTAAGATCTGCTTAGCCAACGGCTTTGACCTGGGAACGCAGACAAGCCCGTGGCTCAGGCTGCACGTCTCCCGCTGCTCACAGTGACTGCTCTTAAGCGGGGGGCATTTGACAAGCTCTCCATTACCTTCTCTCCTACGAGGGTTTCCAGTTCTTTCAGGGTCCGGCCGCCATTCACTTCGCCTCCACTGCACCTGAGGGACAGAAAGAAAAGCTTGTTAAAATGTAGCAAGTCAATGTTGACGTAGGGCACGCAGAGATCAAAATGAGAAGGGTTGCTTAACTGTGCGTTTTAATTTTTTATATTTTTATTGATTTCAGAGAGGAAGGGAGAGGAAGAGAGAGAGAAGCATTGATCGGCTGCCTCCTGCATGCCCCACACTGAGGATCAAGCCCGCAACCCAGGCATGTGCCCTTGACTGAAATAGAACCTGGGCCCCTTCAGTCCACAAGCCGACATTCTATCCACTGAGCAACACCAGCCAGGGCTGCCCTGTGCACTTCTTTAAAAATATATTTTATTGATTTTTTACAGAGAGGAAGGGAGAGGGATAGAGAGTTAGAAACATCAATGAGAGAGAAACACCGATCAGCTGCCTCCTGCACACCCCCTACTGGGGATGTGCCTGCAACCAAGGTACATGCCCTTGGCCGGAATCGAACCTGGGACCTTTCAGTCTGTAGGCCGACGCTCTATCCACTGAGCCAAACCGGTTAGGGCTGCCCTGTGCACTTTTAAACGGGAGATAGCGCTCATGCACCACGGTCTGCCAGGGTGGGACCTCAGAACTGCTCTGCTGGGTCTGTTGGGGCCAAGCCCACTTTTGTTGGAGAATCACTTGGGTCCTGCAGGTGCTGAGAGCTGTTTCCCTGAGACACAGGGCTCCTGGGCCCAGGGCGGCGGGGGTTCTTCCAGTGCGGCGGTGATTAACCCATTCCCTCCTGGTTTCCTTGTGACCCCTCAGAAGTCACTTCTGTCTCGGTGTTGACACCTGGCCTTGTCTTTGGAGTCTGTCTCTAGTCCTGTTGTTAATCCTGTTTGAGATCTGGCTTCCTGGATCAGCACCTTTCACCAGTTCTGGGAAGGCCTCGGCCGTGTTGTGGGTGTCAATCCCAGCCCGTCTCTCGTGACCCTCAAGGGACCCGAGGGGCCTCCGTGGCGCGGAGCTGTGTTCCGGCTCGTTTCTCCTGCCCGGTCCGCCAGGCCGCTTACCTCTTGGGCTGTGTCTAATCTGTTTGTCAAACTCATTGAGCTTTAAATTGTTACTATGAAATAGAACCCATTTGCAGAAAATACATACAACAATGCACAGTTTCGTTATAATCAAGGCAAAGCCTGTTTAACAATTACCCAAATTAAGAACTGAAGCCAAACACCAAAGGCCCTGTGTGCCCTTCTCCAATCCTACCGTTTCCTCTCCGCCTGGCAGTATCCGCCATCCTAGTACTTAACCTGTCACTTCCTTCTACTTGGTTATAACTGCACCCGAGGCATGTAGCTCAAAAATACAGTCCGACTTGTTTGTATGTCACGTGAGTAGGAGATTCTTTTGTTTCTTGCTCCTTCGCTCATTCTTATGTCCATGAGATTCATTCAACTTGCTAACTATAGGTGTTTCGTTTTTTTATTGATTTCAGAGAGGAAGAGAGAACGAGAGAGAGAAGCATCAATGATGGGAGAGCATCATCCATCGGCTGCCTCCTGCACGCCCCACACTGGGGATCAAGCCCACAGCCCAGGCCTGTGCCCTGACTGGAATCGAACTGTGACCTTCTGGTTCATAGGTCCATGTGCAACCACTGAGCCACGCCGGCCGGGCATTAAATTCAATAGGGTCAAGTTCTACCAACACGTCTTCCATATATATCTGTTGACATGATCAGTTCTAAGGACCCTGTCTTATCTCTTATCATTTTAAATTTCACATTTTCATATGAAGAACATTGAAAAAAAATCACTTACCGCTTTATAAGATTTACATTTAGGTCCAGCCCGCCAAACCTGGACAGGAACTGGAGGTACGGAACAGCACCCGCGCTGGTGAGGTGGATCTGCATTCAAACAGGAAGAAGGACAGCCTGTTAGAGGACTCGGACCCAAGCCGGGGGCAGCGCCGGCGGAGGCGGGATGTGGGTGGGACACAGCTGCTCAGACCAGGGGCTGAGTGACGCTCCTGCTCAGCAAACCAGGTGCAAACAACACGAATGCCAGTCTGTGCTAATTAAACGTCAGCACGTTGTCTACAACATCATCTAAATCTAGATCTACCTAAAAAATAAAGCCAAAATATATTCTCATATGTTTATAGACGTGTGCTAACAAACATTACATGTGTGTAAATAGAAATATGAAGGATTAGGTTCCCGAGGGGCTGAGGAACAGCACAGCGTTACCCCGAGTGCCAGCTAAACGCTGTGCACATCATACGCTCTTAAGGTAGAAAACGTCATTCTTAAATTCAAAATTCTAGCAAAGACATTACTGGGTCAAGTGTGTCAACACTGTATGTTAACTTATCCTCCATGTTTAATTCACTGCTGTTGATAACTATACTATGATTATGTAAGAGGATAGTTCTTCATCTACACACTGAAGTATTTAGAAGGAAAAAACCAAAAACATAAGCAACTTCTCAAATGGCTCAGAAAAAAACATTATGTCTATTGTTGTGTGTGTCATGTACAGTACTGTTTACACACACACACACACACACACAAGGAAAGGTCACAGGGGAAGCAGGTGAGGTCACGTGTTCACATGGGCACGTGGGGGGAGAGGGTACGGGCGCGGTTAGTGCCATAGCGGCCCACCCACCCTCTCCCTCTTCTGACAAACGCTCTGGAGTTTGAAAGTACTTCTAAGGAAAAAGGCCAATTTTTTAAAAAGTGAAAATAATTTTTCTCCCGGCCCCCAAAAGAATTATAAAACTAAAATGAAGATAAACACCATCATGATAAATGTATTTTATTCACGTTCACGCAGTACACAGAGCACACTTGCCCAGCGGCGGTGGCTGCGGGTCTGCTCATGTGGCTTCGCATCCCCTCAGCCCTTCAGGTTCCGCCGGAGCCCAGCACGGCCCGCTGGTCTCCCCAGCGGACACCGTCCCTCCTCCATTTCAGCACGTGCCCCCGAGAGGGCGCCGAGGGAGGTCCCTTGTGCAGCTCTTCCTGGGAGGACCCGGGCCTTTGAGTTGACCTAACTTGGGGTGGACACCTGTCGTACAGAAGGTGAGGACAGGGTCCCCACGCAGCTCCCCGGGGGCGCCTCGCGACTGGTGGGGAGGGAGTGGATGAAGCGGGAAAGACGCCGGCGGAGCTCACACTCCCCAGGGGCTCAGGTGCCAGGCCCGGTGCCCATGGGAGTCCCCAGGCAGCCCCGGTGACCCCCTGCGGGGCTGACATTGTGCGGCCTCCCCTCATGGCACTGCCATCAAGGGCCAGACAGCCCTGTGCTTCAGAGCCAGGCTCATCACACTAACCACCCGCCGGGGAAGCAGCCAGGCCCTGGGCCTCCTGAGGCTTCTGGCACATTCCACGCTGTCCTGGCGGACTAAGGCAGAGATGTCTGTGATGGCCAGCCCCGCGCCGAGACCTCAGACCCCACGGCGCTGTCCACAGGAGAGGCTCCGCTGAGAACTCGCCTTCCAACACTTGTGATTCCGGCAAAAACGTTCACGGATGAAAACCGTCCACCGGCGAGGGGCTGAGACCAGAGTCTCGGACGGGCCGGGGTTGGCGGCTGGGAAATCAGTATCCCTGCTGCCAAGGGCTTCAGAGACGCCGCTCCCACCTGGCGCAGCCACGGGCCAGGCGAGCTGCTTCCATTCTCTGGAATCCATTTCCCAAGCCAACTTCTTCCGAAACTGCTACATGAGCGCTCAGAGACCGAGGCTGTATTCTTCCATTCGTATTCCTGTCAACAGAAACTCAGGTGCGGGCCTGATCACAACACCCGAAGTCAAACATGCTCAACATGGTTCTTAACATTAAAAATTAAATCGCAAGGCTTGGCTGCTGTGGCTCAGTGGATAGAGCATCGGCCTGCCGACTGAAGGGTCCCAGGTTCGAATCTAGTCAAGGGCACATGCCCGGGTTGTGGGCTCAATCCCCAGGAGGGGGTGTGCAGGAGGCAGCCAATCAATGGTTCTCTCTCATCATTGAAGGTTCTATCTCTCTCCTTCTCCCTTCCTCTCTGAAATCAATTTGTTGATAAATATATATGTTTATTAAAACATATATTTTAAATTGAAGCTCAAGTAAATTCACTCTAACTGGGAAGTTCTTTCCTCATTTGAAGGCGGACGTTCCCATGAAATGTTTTTCCAGTTGCACGCGTTTCCCGTTAGGCTGGCATTAAGTGTAGGAGAAGGACGGTTGTACCACCACATGGACTCGTCATTAGAAGATCAAGAAAAGCCTCACGCTCCCAGCACTGCGGGGCTGGGAAGAGAAGCCGCGCCCTTCACTCCGGTGACTCCAGCCTCCCCGATTCACACGCGTCACAGGAGCTCATGGCTCTAGAAAAACACGCCTATCATTGAGGATAGACTGCTAGGACCTGTGTTGTTTTGTTGTTTTTTTTAATCTTTGAAATTCAACATTTCTCAGTAACTTCTTTTAAAGACAGATGTAGCTTTTTAAAACAGATACACATTTCACATCTTCTGTGCTTTTCCTCTTCCTGCACAGCTGATTCGCATGGGAAGGTTGTCAAAATTTTAAATTAACATCAGATCATGAATATAGGAAACATGAACAGGAAATAATGTTTTTATTCTCCACTTGGTATAAAGTGTCAGTTCAATCAAGCCTATGAGAAAACAGATTTCCTGTTTGCAAGGACAAACGCTCTTTAAAAGTAAAAGGACATTATTCGCATATAACACAGCAATTCCACTCCCAGGTGTGTACCCAAGAGGAGGGAAGACCCATGTCCACACAGACATCTGTACATGAACTGTCATAGCGGCACTGTTCACAAAGGCCAAAGAGTGGAAGCAACTCCAAGGTCCATCGGCTGAAGACAGAAGGTGGCCTGTCCATACAGTGGAATATTATTCGGCCATAAAAAGAGGAAGTACTGATTCATGCTACAACACAGAGGAACCCTGAAAACATGCTAAATGAAGGAAGCCAGACACAGAATATCATATAATGTGCCATTCCATTCATAGGGAATGTCCAGAATAAGCAAATCTGCTGTGACAGAGTAAGCTAATGGTTGCCAGGGAGCGGGGACGGGAGTGAGGAGAGGCTGCTAAGGAATACGGAGTTTCTCTCTGAGGTGGTGGGATGTCCAGGAATTAGGGAGTAGTTGCACAACTCTGTGGTTATATTAAAAACCACTAACTTGTATATTTTTAAATGGTGAATTTGATAATATGTAAATTCTACCTTAATAAAGCTTTCATTTAACATGTAGGTACATATTAATTGACCATAAGGGTGTGGGTTCGTTTCTGGGCTCTCTCTTCTGTTCCATTGATCTCTATGCCTGTGTTTATGCCAGTGCCATGCTGTTTTGATTATTATGCCCTGGTAGTATAGTTTGATGTCAGGTAGCATAATCCCTTCAACTTTGTTGTTCTTTCTCAAGACTGCTGTGGCTATTCGGGGTCTTTTGTGGCTCCATATAAATTTCTGTGGTATTTCCCTAGTTCTGTGAAATATGCCAATGGTATCTTGCTAGGAATTGCATTGAATCGATAGACTGCTTTGGGTAGTATGACTATTTAAAGATGTTAATTCTTCCTGTTCATGAACGAGGTACTAGTATATGCTTCCACTTACTTGTAACTTCTTTCATTTCTTTCTTCTGTGACTTAGAATTTTCTGAGTACAGGTCTTTTACATCCTTGGTTAAGTTTATTCTTAGGTATTTTCCCTAAGAATTTAGGTATTCTTGGGTGTTTCCCCTTGAGTTAAATACCCACTCCTCCCGAAAGCCTTCCTGGACTGCCACACCTCATTGTTAGGTAGTGTCCCCTCCTCTAACTCCCAACCACCCTGTAACCGCCTCTGTCTAGGGGCAACTATCAGCCCTTTCATAGTTCCCTCGCTGGACAGGGATCCCCTCAAGGGTGGCCCATGTCTGGCTGCTCTCCACTGGGCCGAGCATATAGTAGATACGCAGTAACCCTGGGATGCAGGAACAAATGCCGAAATACCGACAGCCCCGACTTACGATGGTTTGACTTATGACTTAACAGCTGTATGATGGTGCGAAAGCAATACACATTCAGCAGAAACTGTACTTTGAATTTTGCTCTCTTCCGGGGCCAGTGGCACTCTGGTGGTGCTGGGCGGTGGCCGCAGCTCCCAGGCAGCCACGTGCTCACCAGGGTCAACAAGCAACACCGCTGGGTGTACTCACTGTGCCGCTGTGAGTGCCCGGAGCACGCTGCGTAGGCCGGCCAAGCTGCGATGTTCCTCGGCGAGGTGTGTTAAATGCATTTTCTCAGGACATTTTCCACTGACCACGGGTTTATCAGGAGGCACACGCCTCGTAAGTCAAGGAGCATCTGTACTAAATTCCAAAATGCAAGCTGAGCCTGGCCGGCGTGGCTCAGTGGTTGAGCGTCGACCTATGAACCCGGAGATCGTGGTTCCATTCCTGGTCAGGGCACATACCCATGTGCGGGCTCAATCCCCCGTGGGGGGCGTGCAGGAGGCAGCCATGGTTCCATTCCTGGTCAGGGCACGTACCCATGTGCGGGCTCAATCCCCCGTGGGGGGGCGTGCAGGAGGCAGCCGATCAATGATTCTCTCTCACCACTGATGTTTCTATCTCTCTTTCCCTCTCCCTTCCTCTCTGAAATCAATAAAAATATATTTTAAAAAACGCAAGTTGACCAAATGCTTTATACATTGGAAGCTTTACAAAACAAGGCAAAACAAACAAAAAACTAAAAGAAATTACTGTAACAGTGCCACGTGCAAAATATGACCAAAGTTCATCCCAACTCTGCCCCAACGTGAGGAAGTGATGTGAAGAAAGAGTGCTCTGCTCCCTCGGGGCCGCCGCTGCCCGCCGGGGTGACGCGACCCTACCTCGGCCAGCACGTCCTGGAACTGCTCCCTGGTGAGCGTCAGCAGGAAGGTGTTGATGACCCTCCGCAGCTCGCTCTTGGACACCGTCATGCTGTAGCTGGGATCGAGCAGCAGGAAGGCTTTTACCAACTCGTCTCCTTTATCGGTAATTTTTTGAAATAAAATCCGTTTAACATCTAAGGAGGACAGTATCGGATTTGCAACACTTGTGGCTGTAGAAGAGAAACGGCTGTTTATTAAACATGCTTAGAGCTAAGCGACCAAAACCCTCCCCCCGTGGCCTGGGACCAAGCCGCCTGTGAGACCTGTCTCTGTGGAATGACAGTGATAAGGACAGAGAAACACAAGGCAGAGACGACCTGCCCTGCAAAGAGCGTGGGTCATTACAGGTGAAACAGGGTGTCGGAATGAAACTGAGGAGTCAATTCCTTTTAAATCAATTGTTAAACTACATTGAGTTTTCAACCTCTGGCTCATTTTCGAGGGTAAAACGTGTAATTCTTACATCTAGATCGCATCCCCGTCGAAGACAAGGAGGAACTGAGAACAGGCACACCGAGGGGGGGGAGTGCTGAGCTCGAACGCGCTTTGGGGCCTGGCCTGAAGGAGGGCGTCCTGGCTGCAGCGCGTCAGGTCCCTGGGTCCAGAGTCACAAAGGAGAGAGGATACCACACGGCCCTGCCTTTCCTCTGCCTACGATGGAAACTGCTGGAGTAATTGGTTGAAGCAACAAGTAAATACACTAACTACAAATCAACTCACGGTACCACCAGCATCAGCCGGAAGATGTGACTATTCTATTTTCTAGTTTATGACCGACTAGGGGAAGAGGAAGCTAAGAATGGCTGCAGTTTGCAAAACCTCTCTATTTACGAGGTTGCACAGGCTTGGTGACCACAGTTAGTAACTGTGTCTTACGTGGTTAAATGTGTGTAGCATTGCCTGGTCACCCTCGTAAGATGCCACACCAGCTGCCATGCCGTGTGGAGTCACAAAGCCACAGGGAGAGGCCGCAGGTGGGTGCTCCGGGCATTTGCTCCCCTGGGAGGATGTGTGGAGTCACAAAGCTGCAGGTGGGTGCTCCGGGCATTTGCTCCCCTGGGAGGAGAGGACCGGCTGAGAGCCTGAGGGAGGGGAAGGGCTTAACCCTCCCATAGAGATGCTCACGGTGCAGCGTCGCCACGCGTGGACTTCCAGTCTCCACGGACTCACGTGGCACAGCTCGCAATTCCCTTTGGGCCCACACACACTGCTCTCCCTCTGCCCGCCCAGCCTGGAGTGCCAGCTGCACCCAATGTCACAGAGGGACCCTCCTGGCCATTTACATCTCCATCCTGAAATCTTTCTTTCAGACTTTCATGGACATTTTTAGTTGCTTTCTGAGAAACCCATCTTTTCTTTTCTTTTTTTAATTTATTATTTTTTTAAATCTTTATTATTGAAAGTACTACATATGCCCCTTTTTTTCTCCCACTGACCCCCTTCACCTGGGCCCCAGGTCTTCGCCGCCTTGTTGTCTATGTTCGTGGGTTATGCATATATATATGCATACAAGTTCTTTGGTTGATCACTTACCACCCGCCCACCTTCCCTCCAAGATTCCACACTCTGTCCCATGCTTCCATGTCTCTGGATCCACTTCGTTCATCTGTTTATTTTGTTAATTAGATTCACATCTGAGTGAGATAATATGATACTTGTCTTTCTTGGACTGGCTTATTTCACTTATCATGATACTCTCCAGGTCCCTCCATGCTGTCTCAAAGGGTAAGAGATCCTTCTTTTTTACTCCTGCATAGTATTCCATTGTGTAAATGTACCACAGCTTTTTTATCCACTTGTGTACTGATGGGCACTTGGGCTGTTTCCAGATCTTAGCTATTGTAGATTGTGTTGCTATGAACATAGGGGTGCATGCATGCTTTCTAATTGGTGTTTCTGGAAACCCATCTTTTCAATCAATAATTCTAATTTAAAATTATTAGGAAAAAACAATTATTAGAATTATCAGAAAATATTCATTTGAAACCATGTGAAATTACTTAAAGGGAAACCTTTCATTTCACGTGCCCCTGCAACTTCTGAGATTTAAAATGAAAGCACTAACCAAACTTTGCATGACCTGCTAGTGAGAATGCAAATTAATTTCATCTTTCTGCATGGCAATTTGACAGGATTTTTTACATCTATCCAAAATAAAGTCACAACAGACTGTCCCTCTTCCTTCTAACAATGAGGAAAAAATGAGATAAGCTAAAAAAGATGGCTTTAAAAGCCCATCAAAGAACTAAGGATGGAAAGAGATTAAATTCAGAAAGGATGGGCACTCGCAGAGACAGAAGACCCAGGACCCTCTCCCCCTGTGGAGCCCCAGGAAGAAAAGCCAAGCCGCTCTGAGCTGTGTGGTGTCCAGGGCACACAGGGCCTTCAGCTGGCGCAGGGCAGCGGCTGACCTCCACGGAGGACAGAGCAGAGAGCTGAGGCAGTCCCTCCAGAGCCAACGGGCCTTCGCTGAGTGGACCTCACAGCCCACTGCAGACCTCGGGCAGGGTGGCCAGTGGCTGGGCCGGGGCAGAGAACACCCAGAACACTTCTGAAACTGGCAGGTGGGCTGAAAGCACAGAGCTCCCCAGTGGGCCGAGCTGGCAGCTGGGCTGTGGGACAGATCTCTGGAGTCTCCCCAGGGTTCAGATGTCAAGAGCTGTTGAAGGGAGACATCTGAAACCAGGGGTCCCCCAAATCTAACTGAAACCGCAACCAGTCCAGCCCGACTGAGAGATTACACGGAGCAGCCATCTCACCAAAAGCCAGGAGAGGAGGCGCATTCCTTTAGCTGGTGGTGAATATTAGTTACTTCCATCTCTACTGTTTTTCACACAAATGTCTGATCTTAAATCTTTTTTAAATTGCAAGACAAGTGAAATAAGGAAGGTGTCCTAATGAAGAGCAAAAACAGTCATGAGAAGACCCCAGAGTGAACAGATATAGCCGTGATCAGGTGTTTAAACTAAGAATGGTAAATGTGTTAGAGACTAGAGGCCCAGTGCATGAAATTTGTGCACTCGGGGGGGGGGGTCCCCTCAGCCCGGCTTGTGCCTTCTTGCAGTCCGGGAGCCCTCAGGGGCCTAAGCTGGCAGTCGGACATCCTTAGCGCTGCCATGGAGGCGGGAGAGGCTCCCACCACCGCCGCTGCACTTGCCAACCATGAGCCCGGCTTCTGGCTGAGCGGCGCTCCCCATGTGGGAGCACACTGACCACCAGGGGGTAGCTCCTGTGTTGAGCGTCTGCCCCCTGGTGGTCAGTGCACATCATAGCGACCGGTTGTTCCACCGTTTGGTCGATTTGCGTATTAGCCTTTTTATTATATAGGATAACAGAAAAGTTGACACCATGTTGAACACAGCGGGGTTTCAGCAGAGAAATGGAAACTTTTTAAGAAGTGCATGAAAAAGCTAGAAAATAAAAATACAACATCAGAAGTGCAGAACTCATTTGATTTGCCTAATAGCAAACTGTACGTAGTAGAAGAAAGGACTAGTGAATACAGAATCAGGGCAGTAGAAATTGTTCAAATTGAAACAAACAAAAGGCAAAAAACATTCATGAAAGAACCAGCTTGTCTAGTATCTGTGGCTGCCAGGTTCACGTTTACCCCATGAATTCTGCTTATTTAATATACAAGTTAAACAAGTACATATCTATGTATGTATGTGCTCGCATGAAAGCGCAGCCAGCCAAACAAGTAATACTGACCACTCTTGGAGAGGAAAATGCTGTCAGGATGCACCATATAAATATCTACATGAGCATACAAATATATATATAATTTTTATTTAAGAAAAAAAATTGAAAAATGCCATCACTAAAAATTAAAGGCAAACGACCAATGAAAAAAGACACAGATGGCACATCAGGCAGATGAAGGATTAATATCTTCATTACAGAGACAGCTCATAAAAATCACTGAAACCACTTACTCATAGTGGGTAAGTGAGCAAAGGGATGGAAAGGCAGGTTACAAAAGAAAACAACACAAGCCAGATGAACTGGAGATCAAAGCTGACCTCTACTGTTAGAGACATGCAAACCGAAATCGCCACAGAGCACTGCGTCTGGACTTGAAAGGACAAGAGGTAAAGGGTGATATTCTGTCAGGATGCTTAGAATAAGCACCTTTAGACATTACCTGTGGGCGAACGGGTACAAGCGTCCTCAGGGCAATCCAGGAGCCTGAGCGCGGGAATGCCCTTTGACCCAGTGACCCCTTTGACCCAGTGACCCGCTCACTGCAGCCTTCCTGTACCATCAGCGCGTTAGGGAAACCAAGCCACACCCAAAGGGCATTGCAGGCCTGGCGCTATTGGACTGGAACAGGCTCATTACTGATGAGACATTTCTGTGCTGGAAATTGCTAGTCAACCCTCGCTTCCCACTCTCCTTTTCCCCTAGAAACAGGAACCCTGAGATGTGGGTAGACACGGGGCTGTCTGGCATAAAGTCTGTATTTCCCAGGCTCCCTAGTGGACGCATGTGACCATGTGATTAAAGTCTCGCTAACTGTGAGCGCACACAGGTGCCCACTGTGACTTCTGACTGCCTTTCTCCCACTCATGAGGCAAAATCAATCCCCCCCATCGTGTCCCCTCCGAGTCCTGCTCCTGGGCCGTGCTCTCACTGCTGCGTCCGTACGTCTGTCCCGGCACGTGATTCTCACTACTAGAACGCCCCATTTTCCTCCCTGGACTCCCCTCCAGGCGGGTCCTCCCTAGACCCACCTCCTTCTCCTTAGAACCTGTGACGGTTCTTGTCACATAGTAGGGCTCATAAAGTGTTTGAGAAGGGAGGAAGGGAGGGCTCATGCCACCACCCTGCCACTTAGAAACTGTAACTGTGGGGAAGTGTCTCGGGTCCCCGTAAAGAGAAGAGGGACAATAACAGAACCCACTCCCTCGCTCTGCTGGGGGGATTCAGGGCCGAGAAGCCCTCGGACAGAGTCCGGCACGCACCACACACAGTGACAGCTCCTGTCAGTAGCATCTGCTCGTGAATACTCACTTGAGGAAGATCTGGGCGTATTTTGGAAACCATTTCTTGAACAGACTCTAAATGATGAAGTGCAGGGTCTTAAATTTTTGAATTTTTGAACGTGAGGACACAGAGTATGCCAAACTGGTATGGTAGCCATTTTGGACGTTAAATCCCTGTGACAGAGAGAAAACAGAGTATGTTACCTTCCAGCACACATTACCGATGAGGCCAACCTCCCATCTAGTCCTCTCCTGGCAGGACAGCGGAGGCTGTGAACACAGCCAGCTATGACCTTCGCGCCCACGTCGCGAAGACTATTCTTAAAGTGAACACAAAACTGCGGTGTTACTCTCCCTGTTTTTAGCAGATCCAATCATCATCAAAAATGGAAAAATGAAGCTGTTCGGACACGAACCCCCACCTGCATCCTGACTGGTGTGCACCACTTTGTTCACGTAAAAAAGCACTCAAACCTGAAAGAGTTTTGTGAGTTTATTTGAGCCAAACTGCCGACAATTGCCAGGAAGCAGAATCTCCATGATGGGGCTAATGCTCGGGAAATGGCAGTTTCTCACTGTTTGATACGTGACAGTCAAAGGAGGAGACGTAGGTGGGTGACGTGAAATCCACTGGTGATGGATTGGGGGGGGTGGAGCAAAGCGGGGAAACCTCTGAGATTGGATGAAGAGTAAAAGGTTAGACACACACTTCTTCCCCTGGTGGGTGCAGGACAGTTAACAGTCACCAATTAACACGATAACAACAATGAAGGAATTTGCGGTCTCTGTCCTGGCGCCCAGGGCATGCCAGGAAAGATACCCGCCTAGGACGTGACTACCCACCATAACTGCTTCTAATTAAAGTTTTAATTTCAGACCATCCTTTGTGGTTACTTTGGGTCTTTGAGTTTGCAAGACCGCCTTCCCTGAACTTGTCAGGTTAGCGTGTGGCTCCTTTTTCATCCACAACTCCTTTGGTGGCCATGAGGATGGAAAGTCTGGACTCTGAGCTTCTTCTTTTTATTAAATGTATCGGTTGATATGATCATATAGGCTTCGGGTGTGGGTTCCTAGGTTACCAGACCTGCATCTTGCCCTGTGTGCCACCGCCCTTGGACTGAGCTTCCTAAGCGCCTCACTGTGCACCCAGCACACAGTGAGGCAGAGCTGGCCTCTGAAAGCCTTCCCCTCCGTGAAACAGCAAGAAGCCAGCCACAGCGAACCGTTTCAAAACTCTGCAGTTAACCAGAGGTTTGCAGCAACCTAGGGAGCATAGGTTCACGAAATCCGGCAGAATCTCTGTATGAACACAAGCTTGGGGCGTTTTAACTTTCTCTGTTCCCATCTCCCCGCTCCCTTGAAATCAAGCACCTGATCTCAGTGGAAACCCGGCAGCCAACAACCACTGGCAGGAGCAGAGGGCTGGACCCCGTCACGGCCCCATTACCAGAACATTCTCATTACCTGACACACTGTGGTTCTGGGAAGACTCCACTCACAGGCTGCTCTATGTTAACCAATTCAGAGTTCACCCAGGGAGAACAGGCTATTGTGAAAAGGTTTGTTGAAAAAAAACAAAGATAATTGTGTTTAAAACCTTAGCTGCCTGAGTAGGTGGGTAACAGGTGGAGTAAACAATAGACTAAAAGCTTAAAGCAGTGGTTCTCAACCTTGGCTGCACATTAGAATCACCTGGGAATCTTTTTAAAATCCTGATTTCTGGGCTTCATCCTCCGGAAATTCTTCTTTGTTGTTATGGGGTGGGGCCACAACATTAGTAACAAAGAAACAGAATTTCCGGAGGATGAGGCCCAGAAATCAGGATTTTAAAGATTCCCAGGTGATTCTAATGTGCAGCCAAGGTTGAGAACCACTGGCTTAAAGGAAAGAGCTAGGGAATGGGATGGCGTAGGGGCTCTGAAAAGCATCCCCATATTCCTGGGAATCTAATGGCACTCTCTTGTGTAGGGGTTGTGAGCTGGTCCAGGGCAACGTGTTTACTCAGGGAAGACCGGGGAAGGCCCTAAACTCTCACCTCTGGCTGACCTTGAGGCTCTAGCCAAGGTCACAAGCAGGAAGTGAGGCTCAGGCAGAACTGTAAACTGCCTGGCTCAGGCTGAAGGCACGCCCCAGCACACACACACGAGAGCCCCTTGCAAAGATCGGAAGACTACTGTGTCCAGGCATTTGAAATAGACTTTATCATACAAACAAAAATTGAGGGAATTTGTCACCAGCAGACCTACTTGCAAGAAATCTTGTTAAAATAAAGTCTTCAAAAAGAAGGAAAAGTCCAAAGGGTCAGAAACTCAGATCTACAGAAAGAAAGGAAGAATATTAGAGAAAGAATAAATGAAGTAAAATAAACGTCTATGCACCTAATAACAGAGCCGCACTATACTTGAAGTAAAAACTGGTAACAGTGAAAGGATAAATATACACTTTAACAATAATAGTGGAGACTTCAGTGCCCACTTTTGATGATGGACAGGCCAACTAGAGAGAAGAGCAACAAGGAAACAGAAGACTTGAACAATGCGTAAACCAATTAGACAAAGACACATCGAAAGAACAGTCCACCTAACACAGCCGTGGGCAAACTATGGCCCGCGGGCTGGATCCGGCCCATTTGAAATGAATAAAACTAAATAAAACGCGTAAACCAATTAGACGAAGAAACATCGAAAGAACAGTCCACCTAACAACAGCAGAACACGCATTCTTCTCAAGCACACACGAGGCACCCTCCAGGATAGGACATAAAACAAGGCTCAATAAACTTAAAAGGATTGAAATAATCAATAGATGTTCTCCAACTACACTGAAATGAAAACAGAAATCAATAACAGAAAGAAATTAGATAATTAATAAATATGTAGAAATCAAATAATACACTCCTAATTAATCAATGGGCCAAAAAAATAATCACAAGATAAATTAACAAATACTTTTACATGAATGATAATGAAGGCACAACATACCAATATTTATGGGATGCAGATAAAGCAGTGCTTAGGGGTAAATTTATAGATATTAATGTCTATATTAAAGAAAAGAAAATCTCAATTGATGACCTAAACATCTTCCTTTAAAAGCTAGAAAAATAAGATTAGATTAAACCCAAGCAGATTGAAGGGACTAATAAAGATTAGAGCAGAAATAAAATTGAGGATAGAAAATAAAATGAAAAGCTGGTTCTTTGAAAAGATTGGCAAAACTCAAATTATTTAAATCATGAATGAAACAGAGGGCATTACTACTGACCTTCCAAAAACAAAAAGGATTATAAGGAAATGTAAGTTGTATGCTAACAAATTAGATAATGACCATGAAATGGAAAAATTCTTAGAAAGACACAAACCACTGAAACTGACTAAAGAAATAAAATATCTGAATAGCTCTATAACAAGCAAAGAGACTGAATTAGTAATCAAAAAACTCATTGTGAAAATCCTAGGACCAGATAGGTTCACTGATAAATTCTATCAAACACTTAAAGAAGAATTAAAACCAATCCTTCACAAACTCTTCCAAAAAACGAAAGAGGAGGGAACACTTCCCAACACACTGTATGAGGTCAGTATTACCCTGATACCAAACCAAAGACATCAAAAGAAAAAAAAAAAGCTAAGGACCAATTTTCCTTGGGAATATAGGAAAAATCTTCATCAACATACTAACAAACTAATCCAGCAATATGCAAAAAGAATGAAACAGCATGACTAAGTGGGATTTATCAAAGGAATGCAAGGGTGGTTTGCATTCCAGGAATGCAAGGATGTTTGCTCCATTTGTTACAAAATTAATCAATGCAACATTAATAGAATCAAGGGGGGAAAATCATTTGAATGGGTGCAGAAAAGGCATTTCACAAAATCCTACATCCTTTCACGATAAAAACACTAGGAACAAACTAGGAACAGAAGGGAACTTCTTTGACCTGACAAAAGGCATTAATAAAAAAAGACCAGCTAACATCACACTTAATGGTAAAAATATATATATATTTTTTACCCTAAGATCAGAAACAAGATGAGGATGTCTGCTCTCACCACTTTTATTCAACACTAGTGGCCCAGTGCACGGATTTGTGCACATTGAAAGGAAATTAATTAGAAGGTGGCTGACGGGGCAGGACTTGGTGAGACAGGCCAGACACACCCTCGAGCCACTCCTGCCAACTCTCCCCAGCTGGCGGTGCTGCGGCTCGAACATGGCGTCTGCGGAGTGAACGGGGTCCCTCCGGCAGGTGGGATCCCTTGGCCTGGCCTGCAGGGATCAAGCTGAAACTGGCTCTCCGACATCCCCTGAGGGGTCCTGGAGTGCAAGAGGGCACTCTGCGAAGTTGCTGTCGTACAGGGTGTGGGATGCAAACGCAAGTGTGCAGTAAACCAGATTTGGGGCTGACAGTGCCCCAGCAATAACATAACCCAGGGCCAAACGTGCAGCTCCCTCCTCTCTGGTTCCGGGGTGCATCACCCGAGAACTGCTGCTGCCAAGTCACTGCAGCTCGGCAGCTCCTGCGTTGAGCGTCAGCTCCCTGGTGGTCAGTGCGCATCATACCTACTGGCCGGCCAGAGAGTCGCTTAGCCTTTTATATATATATAGGTTGTGCTAAAGGTTCTAGCCAGAGCAATTAGGCAAGAAAATGAAATACAAAGGTACCAGGTTGGAGACTAATAAAAACTATCTCTATTTGCTAATGACATAATTTTGTATAATAGAAAACCCTACAGAAGACACACATGCCAAAAAAATACTATTAGAATAAACAACTTCAGTAAGGTTATGGGATATAAGATCAATATACAAAAATCTATTGCTTTTCTATATACCTGCAATAAACAATCTGAAAATAAAGTTAAGAATACAATTCCATTTGAAGTAGGAAGCTGGGTCAGCAGCAGAAAGGATGGGAGAGGTGGCTCAGGATTAACCCTTTGAGTGCCAACCAATATCCTAGGAACTATGCTAAAATTGCCAAGGCATTTTGAGTTAAGGTTTTTAAAAATTTTTTCCCACATAAGAGTGAACTACTAGAATCTAATAGTGACACTGCAGGAGGAGCGCGATAGCGCTCCCAGCACTTTTGGCGAAAGACAGGAGGAGCGAGATCGAGCTCCCCAGCACTCTAGGGGTTAAGGAAGAGGCTAGAGGACGAAATGGTTGTCTGG